GACCCCGAGCCCCAAGCTTCTTGGTTTGAGCGCGCAAATCCACGAAACCCTAAACCAAAAAATGGCCCCAAATACCACAGTGTGCCCCTGAAACCCTAAACCCCTACACCCTCTGAGAGCTCAAACCCTAAACCCTAAACCCTAAACCCTAAACCCTAAACCCTGAACCCTAAACCCTAAACCCTAAATCCCTCTGAGAACGCCGCCTCCTCTGCAAGAGACACTGCTGCCAGCGCCACTGCTGAGATCCCCTGCAAGCCGGGACACTGACCCGACGCCGCATGCTCCCGAGAGCTTACGAGCCGGAACCCCTAAACCCTGAATCCCTACACCCTAAACCCTGAACGCCTGAACCCCTTGAACCCAAAGGAACCCCTGAACCCCTGAACCCCTGAACCCCTAAACCCCTAAACTCTAAAGCAGTGGAATCTGTTGAACAAAAGCCTTCCTAAAAAAAAAATGCCGGAGGGCTCCAGTGCTGATTAGGGTTTAGGGTTTAGGGTTTAGGGCTGTTAGGGCATAATCGACCTCATCCTAAGGGGGTGTAGGCCTTTAAGGCTTGAGGACTCTCAACCCACAATCCAAACGCTAAACCCTAAACCCTGGGCCCTAAACCCTAAACCCTGCAAACCCTAAACCCTACAAACCCTAAACCCTACAAACCCTAAACCCTACAAACCCCGAACCCTACAACCCTGAACCCTGAACCCTACACCCTAAACCCTAAACCCTAACCCTAGCCCTAAACCCTAAACCCTCAATCCTACATTCTCAGAGACATGGGGCTTAGGGGATGTTTCGGGTTTCAGCACGGAGGCCTCAAGGAGCTGGCAGGCAGTGGAGGAGCCTCGGGGAGAGTAGGTGCCTACAGGGTTCGGGGTTTTAGGGGTTTGGGGGTTTTAGGGTTTAGGGTTTGGGGTTTGGGGTTTGGGGTTTAGGGTTTAGGGCTTAGGGCTAGAGTCTGCAGGATTTAAGGTTTTAGGGACTCAGGCTCAAAGAGACCTCAACATGATAAATTCCCATGGACTCTGTGGGACTACCGCCTTCCATGAGGCTGTGGACTCGTTCACTCTTTGGGTGCCCCACACCTCGACAATTGCCCCAGACCTCAAAACGCCCATTGCGCGCCAGGCAAAAACCCTAGACCTACAAGCCCTTAAACCCTACAACCCTAAAACCCTAAAACCCTTAAACCCTACAACCCTAAACCCTAAACCCTAAACCCTAAACCCTAAACCCTAAACCCTAAAACCCAAACCATAAACCCTCTGATACTCATAGACCCTATAAGCCCGAACCCCCCAAAAAAGCCTCAAGCCATAAGACTCCCACACCTCACAAAACAAAATCCCACCCCCACCCCCCCACCCCCCCCCCACCCCAATCGATGCTTAGCCCGAGGCTCTGAACCTTAAACCCCAAATCCACCAAGTTTAGGGTTCGGGTTTTAGGGTTTAGGGTTTAGGGTTTAGGGTTTAGGGCTTAGGGCTTAGGGCTTAGGGCTTAGGGCTTAGGGCTTAGGGCTTAGGGCTTAGGGCTTAGGGTTGAGCTCTACTCTACTCAAACCCTGAGCCCTATGGAACACGCCTGAGCGCAGCAGGCCGATGGCGGCGGCCGCAGCGGCGTGCAAGGCCTCCGGCGTCGAGCCAAACTCTTGCAGCCTGGGTTGTGGTGAGGGAGCTGGCATGTTTTTAGAGGCGGGTTGGTTGGGAATGGTTTTGGGGTTAGTTTTTAGAGGCGGTAAGGTTGGGAATGGTTTTAGGGTTAATGTTTAGAGGCGGTAAGGTTGGGAATGGGTTTAGGGTTAATGTTTAGAGGCGGTAAGGTTGGGAATGGTTTTAGGGCTAATTTTTAGAGGCGGTAAGGTTGGGAATGGTTTTAGGGTTTAGGGTTTGGGTTAGGGCTTTTGGATTCAGGTTTTGGAGTTTAGCCCTGAGTCTTGAGCCCCAAAACCCGGAAGCCCTCGAACACCCTAAACCCTGCAACCCTAAACCCTAAACCCTAAACCCTAAGCCCTAAACCCTATTATAAACCCTAAACCCTAAACCCTCCAGGGTTTTTTTTTAGGGTTTTTTGGGCGTTTACGAAAGTAGGGGACCCCTAAAATAGACTCCCAAATTGTAGGATTCCCTTACATTCAGGACCCCAATAAGGTACAAACTAATATCGGAAACCCCCACTCAGGGTTTAGGGTTTAGGGTTTAGGGTTTAGGGTTTAGGGTTTAGGGATTAGGGTTTAGGGTTTAGGGCTTAGGGCTTAGGGCTTAGGGCTTCGGGTTCAGGAGTTTGGGGTTTGCTGCACCTTGTCCCAGGCATCCTCTTGAAGATGCTCATGCGTCTACCCTAAGCCCTGAGTCTTGAGCCCCAAAACCTGGAAGCCCTCGAACACCCTAAACCCTAAACCCTAAACCCTAAACCCTAAACCCTCCAGGGGGCTCCTCGCTCTGCGCCCGGCGCAGGAGGCGCTCCACGGCGGCATCCACCCGGGCGCGGCGGCTCATGAAGTATTGGGTTCAGGGTTTAGGGTTTAGGGTTTAGGGTTTAGGGTTTAGGGTTTAGGGTTTAGGGTTTAGGGTTTAGGGTTTAGGGTTTAGGGTTTAGGGTTTAGGGGGTTTAGGGTTTAGGGTTTAGGGTTAGGGTTGAGGTTTCAGGGTTGAGGGTTTAGGGATTGTACGGTATAGGGTTTAGGGCAAAGGGTTTAGGGTCTAGGGTTCGTTTTTTGGGGTTCAGGGCTTTTAGGGTTTCTAGGGTTTGTAGAGCTTATGCGGTTTATAGGGTCCATTATAGGGTTTGCAGGGTGATTAGGGTTCAGGGTTCAGGGTTCAGGGTTCAGGGTTCAGGGTTCAGGGTTCAGGGTTCAGGGTTCAGGGTTCAGGGTTTAGGGTTTAGGGTTTAGGGTTTAGGGTTTAGGGTTTAGGGTTTAGGGTTTAGGGTTTAGGGTTTAGGGTTTAGGGTTTAGGGTTTAGGGTAGGGCTTTAGGGCTTAGGGTTTAGGGTTTGTAGTGTTTGTAGGGTTCATTACAAAGATGTTGGAAAGGGAGGAGGGACTCAGGGTTAAGAGGTTTGAGAAAGGGGGTCAAGGTTTAGGGTTCAAGGTTTAAGGCTCAAGGCTTCAGACTTTTCAGGTGTTGGGCTGAGGAGTTTAGGGTTTGGGGAAGTCAGGCTTTCGAGTGCTTAAAGCATAGGCAGGGGCTACGTAGGATTCAGCGCTTGGGCCTTGCAGGGCTAAGAGCTCTCAAGCTCAAACCCAATTTCCCTGAACCCCTATACACCTTAAATCTTGGGATGTTCCCCTTATACTAACAGTCCTTATGGGGATTATGGTACCCCACCCCCTATTCTAATCCCCATTAAGGACTGCTAGTATAAGTATAGGGGGAACATCCCAACCCAAACAGCAAGTAGGTAAGATGTGAAGACAGGCCCTGCTCCGGGGTGATGGGCTCGGCTCCAGGCACCCTAAACCCTGTAAACCTAACCCTACAACCCTACAACCCTAAACCCTAAACCCTAAACCCTAAACCCTAAACCCTAAACTCTACAACCCTAAACCCTAAACCCTAAACTCTAAACCCTAAACCCTAAACCCTAAATCCTAAACCCTGCAGCCCCGCCCTTTACCCGAGTCCACGCGTAAGGCTTGTGCCATGATCTGTCACTGAGCGATCTGGCCTACCTGAAAGGTGAGAAGTGTCCGTTTTTTCCTGCTCTGGCTGATTCTCACTCTCGAATCCCTTCTAGAGTCCTTGGGGTTTAGGGTTTAGGGTTTAGGGCCGCAGGAAAAAATGGAGCAACGCGGCAAAAGTCGCGTCCGATAAAGTGGGGCTCGCCGCCACCAAGAGCAGACAACGGGCCCATGAAGCAACCTGGGTGGGGGGCAGGACGGCATGAGGAGCCGATGGAACCCCAAACCCTAAACCCTAAACCCTGATCCCTAAAACCCTAAACCCTAAACCCTAAACCCTAAACCCGAAGCTGCCAGCTCATGAGTTTCAGAGGGAGCCTGCAGTGCCCTGCCACACCGCCACAGGAAACTCAGGTTGCCCCAGTTCCCAGAGGCTCCAGGGTTAGGGCTTCGGGGTCAAGGGTTTAGGGCTTGGGTTTAGGGTTTAGGGTTTAGGGTTTAGGAGTTAGGAGTTTGGAGTTTGGAGTTTGGGAGGTTAGGCTAGAGGTTAGGGGTTTAGGGTTTAGGGTTTAGGGTTTAGGGTTTAGGGTTTAGGGTTTAGGGTTTAGGGTTTAGGGTTTAGGGTTTAGGGTTTAGGGTTTAGGGTTTAGGGTTTAGGGTTTAGGGGTACGAAGGTCATTAGTGGAATATTTCCGTGAAGCTGACCGGTCCTGGAGTCTCTGAACAAATGGGTTCAAATTTTTGGCCTCCGCCACTGCATAAGAGGGCGCTCCGGCCAGTTGAAGAGCACCTCACTACATGGGTGTTTAAGGTGTCGGATTTAAGGTTCAGGGTTTAGGGTTTAGGGTTTAGGGCTTAGGGTTTAAGGTTCAGGGTTTCGGGTTGAGGGTGTCCAGTCCCTAAACTCCCAAAACCCTAAACCTCAAACCCTAAACCCTAGTAACCCTAGTAACCCTAGTAACCCTAGTAACCCCAGGGAACCCTAGTAACCCTAGTAACCCCAGTAACCCTAGTAACCCCAGTAACCCTAGTAACCCTAGTAACCCTAGTAACCCTGGTAACCCTAGTAACGCTAGTAACCCTAGTAACCCTAAACCCTCACTCCTTGAACCCCATGTGATGAAGCGCCGCTCAGTCGTGAATTCGCTGTTCGCTCTTCGCCACTTCGCTCACCGACCTTGGCTGGGAGCCTGTGGCTGGGACCTCCGAACCCCAAAAACCTTCCTTCAGGGCTTCGAGTACGGGGTTTAGGTTTAGGGTTTGGGGTTTGGGGTTTAGGGCTGTTTAGGGTTTAGGGCTGAGGGTTTAGGGCTTAGGGCTTTAGGGCTAGGGGCTTAGTAGGGCTTCGGCAGAACCCGACATGCCCAGGTGAGCGGCTACTCGTCGGGAAATTGCTGGCGGATGCTCTTCGCAATCGTCTGGAGCTGGATGTTGCTGGTGCCCTGTTCCGGCTGCACCCTCACGACCCCGTTTGGCCCCTAAGCCCCTGAGCAACCCTAAACCCTGAACCCTAAATCCTATACAATAAACCCTAAACTCTAAACCCTAAAATCCCGAAACCCTAAACCCTAAACCCTAAACCCTAAACCCACCCCACTCCTCCCAAACAAAGGAATCCACACAGAAACCTCCAGTCCTTAGAGCCTCAACCCAGACAAACTGAGCCCCCCCCCCCCTTGTGAGATAGGCGGGTCGTTTATTTGAGGGTTTAGGGGTTCAAGGGTTTAGGTTTTTAGGGGTTTAGGCGTTTAAGGGTTTAGGATGTTTGGGTTTAGTGTGCAGGGGTCGATTTTTGATTAGTGGTTCGTACACTCCACATGAAGCTGTTTGAAGCGTCAAGCTCAAAGAGTGTCAAGAATTCGCTGTGGCAAATTCTAAAAGTAGAATGGGAATCTTGGAAAACTAGTTTATGCTGCTTCTTCAGATATGGGGGGGGTGGGGCGATACGAATAATATTGGACATGAAGTTCTGGTACTCGAACCTATGAGTTGCTCTGCATATTCCATAGACTTGATGCCACACGGTGTGCCTTGCGTTCCTAGGACTAAATTAAGGATTCCGAACGCTGTCATTATCGTTGTAGACGATGCCGTTTAAGATGTCTTTCAGCTTCGTGGGTTCCTTTAGCAAATCAGAGCTTCTGCTTCTTGGCTGTCTCTTCCGTCCTGACATGATTGTTTGCTCGCATGCGGCTTAGGCCTAGGGTTGCACAGCCTCGTAGATAGTGCCGATCTTGGCATCACGGTAGTACTTTTCCGCGAGAAACCTGCAGCAGCAACGGGGAGTCAGCAGCATGCTTCATCATATGGGGGTTTCGGAATATAAGGGAACCCTTTTAGGGGTGTCCCTTGACGGGGATTCTATTCTATTTGGGTATAAAAGGGGTGCCCCAATTTTGGGTAATACGGTAATACTCTTATACTGCTGAGTACTAGCACGAGGATCCTGCCCCCTGGTCATCGTCCCTCGGCATATCCGTCGCAACAACTACAAAAGCATCTTCCACCATGGTACGGACTACAGTCATGCCCCAGGTTGAAGAATGGGAGCCGGGTTTAGGGTTTAGGGTTTAGGGTTTAGGGTTTAGGGTTTAGGGTTTAGGGTTTAGGGTTTAGGGTTTAGGGTTTAGGGTTTAGGGTTTAGGGTTCAGGGGGGCAGCTCCCCAAAAGGATTCTTGGAAAAGGATTCTTGGGCTTAGGGCGTCAGGGGATATTAGGGATCCGTAGTTAAGGCAACATGCCTTGGGATGTCTCCCCCTTATACTAACAGTC